TAGTTGAAGGGCATTTTGTAAAGCTTGGTAAAATTTATCCTTTATCTTCAATTTTAGCGTCAAGGGTGGGAGCGTAAGCACTAATGATGTTGACGTAAGTTTCGTCTTTGATATGGGTACCTTAGGGTCATAAGACGTTCGGAGACACCAATAGGCACTTCTGTTAACTTGGTGGTGATTTCGTTTTTGATCGCAATGCCTACAACATGAATTCTCCTGTGTGTTGCGGGATGACCTTCCCAAAAGAAGGTGTAATGCACCTCAGTGAGACTACCTTCATCTGCAAAGCGTGTTTCGCTTAGAGCGGAAACATCTATATTTAATCGGTGGAGTTCCTGTTAGACCAGTGCTGTTCTTCTGGTCGATTTGAATTTATCTTGTCCAGTAGAGAGCGGACGTTCCACGCCGCGAACGTGAAACATTGATGTTTTTCGTTTCTCCGATGATACGCTCGAGTAGGCACCCCTCCCGGAGATCCGATTGAGGGGGTATTTTACCTCCGGACGATAATTTTGTCCCACTCGAATGTTCCATCATTGCTGTGTGTAAGCTGCGTGAAAAGGTTTAACTGTGGCGGTTACGCTGCCGCACAGTTTTGGCTGCAACTGTAGCACGGGATGGCTATGGCACAGTGAGGACTGCGACGACAGTTCCCTTGTGCTACGTCCTCGGCCGGCTAGGTGTATTTTATTACCCCTTTTCCCCAGAAGATGGTAGGTCTGAGGGTTGTATAAGGTTATACCGCCTATACTCGGACGTCAGAGCCTCGTTTGTGTAAACAGGGTGCACCACGTGAAGGTGAGGTTGACTTTTGGGTAAGCTAGGCTATATGTATCGCTTCAATACCCCTTGCACCCCCTTACGTAGAATTAAAGTTCGATTGGATTAGTATACTAGGGTTTTCTTTTATACATTGACACCCCTTTTATGTTTTTTATTTGACGTTTCCGAAAACTGTCTCAAATGAAAGTGGTTTTGAATAAATTTGCCAAAAAAGTCTATTTCGCATATACAAAGTGCTTCAAAAAGTCTGGGCGTGGTTCAACTATCTTATTTCAAATTAGGTATAGGCTATGTTACATAAAAGTAGTTAGGATTTTAGGAGAAAATAAAAATCAAATAAAAAAAATTGGTACTTAATTTGAAATAAGAAAGTTGGGCCACACATTGGATTTCTAAGGCACCCTGTATATGCAAAGAAGACTGTTTGGAAAATGTATTCGAGGCCGTTAAACTTTTATTCAAGACACTTTTTTCGAAACGTCGAATAAAAAGATACAGAGGATGTCAATATAAAACAAACCCTGTATATGGCAGAGGAGTAATAATTGCTCAATATTAAATAAAAGTAAAAAAAAATCGTAAAATTTAGTGAAATGTAAAATATTCTTACCGCATTTTGTAGCTGTATTAGTCAAAAGATGATTTTTTCCATTTTATGAATCCCCTCCACCACCCCCAACCACTCTCAAGTTAGCCAAAACTAACAAGGTTCACGGCCTACTGGCATAGTATGTTTTTACCAAATTTGAATAAAATCGTACAAAAAAAGAATGTTTGCAACATACTTCTGGATTTTTGCCCACTGTGCGACGACGGAAAAAGATAGACTTACTGAAACGTTAAGCATTTTTTGTGCGTTAGGCAAATTGGTTTATTAGTAAACCACTACTGGCAATTAGTCTCTGTTGGATTAACGCAGCAATGTTTACAAAAATAACTATTTTATTTTGTAGATTTTCTTACAGTGGCGAAATACCCATAGGACTTTTTTTTAGAGCTATAGACATATTTTAGAAATCGTAAACTTGATAACCCATTACGCCCAATTTGCAAAGGAATCTCTACCACTTCTGAAAGAATGACATTCGTTGGAGTATACCTCAAGATTCCAAGGCTTGAAATGAGTACGATCTATTTTTTTCAATAATATACCCAGACGTTGTAGGGTATATACCCACTGAGCAATATTGTAGATATATTCCTGATATATACTCGAATATTCCTGGTATTATACTGGGTATTTACAATGCGGTCGTCGGAAACTCCTTTTATAAAACTAGCGTGTTCATCTAATGTTGCATAGATGTTTGCGGCTGCAAACAGCGTCTGTATCCATAGTGGGCGGCTGAGATAATACTCGCCAACTTAGGGTATGCCCATCACTGTTGCCAGCCAATAACGTGGTTTATAAATAGTAGCCATCAATATAAAGCCATATTATTCTAGATAAACTTTTTTGTCAAAAAATACCGGTTATTGCCCTCATGTTTGCTGATTTACTTTTGTAATTTGGGTATGATAATAATCATATACCATAACCTTTGTGGATAAACTTTTTTTTTAAGAAAGTTGAATTGTAGCATTTTTCTGTTTTCATCTAGTAGGAATAACTTGGTATCTTCATTCATATGTGGTCCATATGCGGTGTTTGGTATAATCTACTAGATTATAAACTGTACAAAAAAATCCTGAGATATTTGAAGAGGTGACTGCAATATGGTTATTGCACCTGGTGGCAGCACCATTTTAACAAATTCGTTAGCCAAAGTAGGAGCTTCCTCGAAGAGCTGCTCTGTTCTTGCTACAACCGAAAGCAAGGTAGCTCCAAATAATGTTGCCATTTATGTATTGTTGAATGAAGATACCTAATTGTTGTAAAAAACGATCGGACTATTTTTTAAAGGGCAATTCATTAAATATCTCATTTTCGTAAAAAGGCGTGAAGCTGCCTGGTTACTGCAGCCACCCCTTCTATTTATTCTTACATGAAAATGTTATTTTTTTCAACAAGTGCATTATCTGCATATAAAACGCCTATTTACACTTCTATTTATATCAATACAGATACCCATAATTTATTGCAAAAACAAAAATATAATGTGATGTAAGTCTAAGTAACCACTTCACTCTTGAATTTCTTTCAATTTATTTTTTTATTTATTTGTAAGATAATTTTACACATCTTTTATAAAATTAATTCGATGAATATGATTTTGTATTTTTTCATATTAATTATTGTAAAACTGAAGGAATCAACAAGTATCAATTAATGAGAAGCACTTAGCGCGATTTTAGAGGTCACAAAAAATACGCGGATTACCGGGTGTTTCAGAAATGGCTGAACCCTATAACGTTTTTATTTTTTATTTAAATAAACGAAATTTGATACGTTACTAGGATGACATAAATCACAATTGATTGACAGGATTCAATTATTTTCGGTCACTCTGTTTCATCGGAAATTTTATAAAAAAAAACTTTTGATTATTTTTGGCACCTTCGGTATTTTTACTTTATTCGATAGAAAATGCCACTCTGAATAGAATGACATATCACATAATATATACTTCTGACATTCTCGCTTAAAAAATGTATTTTAGATTGCCATGACTGTGTTAAAAACACTATTTTTTAATCAAGGAGCCTTGGAAAAATAGATTTGATCGTTTAATGTGTTTCGTATTTTCCTGGCCAAATGAAACGATTTGCATATTTAGGAAAATATTTTTTTTTACTGACAATTTGTTACCACACATTTGGTATCTCGAATCAAATTGTCTTTACATTTATGGTCATGGCACTCTAAATTGAAATTTAAAATGCTATTTTTTTAATTGAAAATGTTCAAAGTTGACATATGATATGTCATTCTATTCCGAATGTTATTGTCTATCAAACGAACTAAAAAAATCACGAGGGGGTCATTTAAATTACAGTTGAGGGTTGGAACATTTGTGTTACACAGCAAAATAAAACACTAAATCACCACAATACACCAAAACACTTTTACTTTTACATTGGACGTGCGTTTCGCTAACCATGTTAGCATCATCAGCAGATGATTATAAACTAAAGTACAATCTACAAGTTGAGCCTTTATAGACTCGCTCAGTGGGCACCGAGTGGGCGTGGCAAAATCTAGCCACCCGAGTCAGAGCCCACTGAGCGTAATAGTTAGATTTCCGCCACTAGAGTAGTAGGAACAAAGAACTTGAAGGAATTGGACCGTTGTCTCTGTTCATACTATCTTTACATTTATTGATTTTGATGCTTTCATATGCATCTAATTGCCTGTAATTTGAAACTTGTTTAATTAATTTTAAATTATTAAGATCTATACAATGTTCTTTATCAACAATATGTTCGGCAACGCAAGATTTATCCGGTCTACCATATCTTATCTGAGCTACCATATTTATCCGGTCTACCATATCTTATCTACCATATCTTATCTGAGTTCTTTAAATATAGTTAATATTGATCTTCTAATTTGCCCAACATATTTCTGATTACAATCTTTACAAGAAATTTCATAAATACCCGACCTTTCCAGTGGAGGTGTTTTATCCTTTGGATTACCTAATAATTGTTGTAATTTATTATTAGCACTATACACAAGTTTATAATTGACATTCTTAAAAATTCCTTTCAGACCACGGGATAACTCTCTATCAAACGGTATTGAAAAATATTTAGACATATCTTTCTCCACTTGAAAAGTCGAATTTTCAGAAATCATTAACCTATACCTACGCTTTCTAATTAATTTATCAACTAGTGATGTAGATTGTACTTTAGTTTATAATCATCTGCTGATGATGCTAACATGGTTAGCGAAACGCGCGTCCAGTGTAAAAGTAAAAGTGTTTTGGTGTATTGTGGCGATTTAGTGTTTTATTTTGCGGGTCATTTAAAAATCAAAAGTTGTCGTCATTTCCGGTGAAACAGGAAGTGATCAAAAACAATTGAATCCGTCAATCAATCCTAATTTATGTCATATACTAATATACCAAATCTCGTGTCTTTATCTGAAAAAAAAAATATAAAAGTTATAGAAGGGAACAACTTTTGATAAACACCCGGTATATACGGATATTAACAATAACTTTATACGTCCATTGCTAAAAATATCAGTCTGTGTGAATAGCAGTTACACGACAAAAGTTTTAAGTGGTTTTTAATAAGTAACTGTGCTATTACTGAGTCATCGTCGTGCTTTTGAATTGTTTACCACTTCATAGACTCACCTGATTACCTATCAGTGATTTTATCTCCTTTTATATTCTAGTTACTAATTTAGTTTTCCTTCACTGTGGTCCGGGCTAGTAACAGAACATAATTAAAAGACGAATACATAAAAATGACTTCTCAGGTGAATATCCAAACTTTATTTTTTTATTTTATTTAGCATGTTTTTTGTTATTTATTTTGTGTGATATGTGTAATTTTGTGTTAGTGTTTTCAAAAGAAAGTGTATAGGTTATAGGTAAAACATTGACTGGGTCAATTTATAGACTAGATGGAATAGTATACAAACTAACCAAACATACATATACAGGGTCGCTGATATGTATGGGAACGGTCGATTATTAGGTAAAATATAAGAGGTGCTTCAAAAGTTAAACATAAAAGTTGGCTTTTTAAATATCTATTAGCCGATAATACATTTAAGTATACAGGATCGGTCATAAAGTCGTGGCACATTAAAGTTTCATATTTTTAAATAGTACATATTTTTAAATGTACGAGTTGATGACCGACCCTATACCGGGTGCGTCTCAAAAGTGGCTCACCCCTATAACTTTTTATTTTTTTAGTTAAAAAAACGAGATTTGGTATGTTAGTATATATGACACAAATTAGGATTGAGTGACGTATTCACTTGATTTTAGTCACTTCCTGTTTCACCGGAAATGACTACAACTTTTGATTTTTAAATGGCACCCTAGGTATTTTGTTACTTTATTTGATAGAAAATGACATTCTTAATAGAATAACGTATCATATGGCAATTTTGACATTTTTGCATATTATGGTTTATTTGAAATTATACCTTACGGTTTCTAACGAAAATTTGACTCGAAATACCAAGTGTGTGGTATCAAATTATTCGTAAAAAAATGCTTTTTCCAAATATGCTAATGAGCCACTCTCGATTAAAAATACGATTTGAGCATTTTCTAACTGGCCAGGACAAGACACTAAAAACATTAGACGATCAAACCAATTTTTCCAAGGCTCCTTGATTAAGAATTAGTGTTTTTAACATAGCCATAGCACTCTAGACTGAATTTTAAAATACAATTTTTTATTAAGCGAGAATGTCAAAAGTTGACATATGATATGTCATTCTATTCAGAATGTCAGTTTCTAACGAATAAAGTAAAAAAAGTACCGAGGGTGCCATTTAAAAATCAAAAGTTGTAGTTATTTTCGGTGAAACAGAAAGTGACCAAAAACAATTGAATACGTTAATCAATCCTAATTTATGTCATATACTAACATTCCAAATCTCGTTTTATTATCTGAAAAAATAAAAAAGTTATAGGGGTGAGCCACTTTTGAGACGCACCCCGTATACTCAACTTTATTACCCGCTAATAGAGATTTAAAAACCCTAAAACTTTTATATTTAACTTCTTGTGGTACCTCTTATATTTTACCCGATATTTTACCTAATAACCGGCTAACAGAGGGATATTTGTAAAAATTAGGCGGTCAAATGTATTTTATTGATTTTAATTTGGAATAATAGCAAACTAATGTGAAATTTTGTAATCTACACGATTTGTATGGGTAAAAATTACAATATAAGAATAACAGAAAGAGGAAAATATGGAAATGTAATTAACTCTAAAAAAATACAAAATAATTATAAACTCCCAAAAACCTTGTCCATTTTTAGTTAGATGATGATTCCCCGTCAGAAGAAAACGTATTAGATGGATCGTCATCGTCAGAGGGATCTTCTGTTGTTATCAAAGAACTGGCATCAAAGTTACTAACTTTGATGCAGTTCGATGTCCTGCATGCAATTGCATTTGAGTCGCGTAGGTAAATAACTTGGCATCTGTTTTAGTAAGAACTTCCTTGGCCTTTTTTCTTTAACTTCTCTCACTCAATTCAAAAAACGACTTTTTAGGTCTTCCCATGTTTGGCACTGCTTTTGGCAAACAAAAAGATGTTTCAAGCCACGTAGCATTTTTTTTGAGAAAATATTTTTTCTGAAAACTTGCTTCTGTTCATTTTTTTTTAAACTCGGCCCTAAATCTTGAAAATTTATGTTTTATTTCTTTTTTACTGTCATCCGAGAAATCATCGTAAGAAAGTAAAAAGTTTTCTAAAAAACACAGTTTTTCTGTTATATTTGGCACACAATTTTTATTCGTTCATTATATATCAAATAATTGCTTTTTGGTGAATATCTTCACGCCAGATGGTCCTAAAATTAAATAACGAAATAAAAATTAACAAGTTTTATAATTGTGTGAAATTACATGATTTTTTTAAAAAGAAAAATCTTGGAAAATCGGATATTATCGGGTCTAAACTTTTTAAATTCGTGTACTAGACACTACCATCTAGACAACTTAAAAAAAAATTAGGCGGGAAATACACGGAACTATAACAAAAAGCTAGCTTTACTTAAAATTTAAAACGTCAAATCTTTTAAATTTACTTTTAGGAACAGGTACATCGAATATATTGAACAACATATTAATAATTTGTAGTATTTACCTGCTTCATCAATATCCATATTAACGTTTTCAAGAAAAGTATAGCTACTACAAAAGGTATCGAATTTCAAACTTTGTCTTAATAACTCAAATAAATATGCTTGTTTTGTATTATGGCATGGAAACAAAAACAAAAATTCCTTAAGGTGGAAAAAAACCATAACATATAGTGTATTCATATGTTATCTTAACAATAATATTCCTGTTTCTTAAAAAAGGTCACATTTGTCAAATGAAATTTTGGCTACCTAATTTTTTCAGATACCCTTCTGTGCGGCTGTTCCCATACATATCAGCGACCCTGTATATGGTTATTGTGATGGAACGTTTCTACTAAAATAGCTCCGAATATTTTTTTGGTTTTTACAGGATATACCTTGATGACATGATAATATCAAGGGGTGACTTTTGGACCTATTCTAAGAAAAAACTTCATATATGAATATACGCAAAACATTTTTACTTTTGAAATGGAAGGTTGTAGAATGTAGAATGTTTAGGAGGCGAAATGTTTAATCACCGCCTCCTTACAGATCTATTGTGTGCTCCCCTTTCTTGAGATAAAACGGGTATAACTCATCATAAAGTCTCAGGGCTTTGACAAAAGCCAATATCTGAGACGGCTCCATACAGGCCAGCTCTCCATCTTTGACATCAGCCGTACCAAAGTTTATGGCACGAACGGTTGTCGTCTCGGCGCACTCATTGATAAGGTATTCTGGTGTTTCCCTATTTTCCCCACAGAATCTGCATTTGCCGTTGTTTCTCAGCTTCAGTCTACTAAGGTGTTCGTTGAGGAGACAGTGTCCTGTTAAAAACCCCGTGACAGTCCGAAGATTGTTCTTACTTAAATCAAAATCTCTCTTTCCAAATTTTTCTCGGTCGTAAGTTCTGAGTGTCTTAGACCGTTGAGGGATTCCCATTCCAGGTTACAGATGGAGTCCCCCAGGTTCTTCAGTTCCGCTTTATGTTGGTTTCCTCTTAGAAAGCAGAATGGTTCTGGACCAGTTAGTGGAGTGTTCGCTCCTTTTCTACCTAGACCGTTTGCTTTTTCATTGCTTCTATATTGAGAAATAAAACAAAATCATCAAACAAATATTGTTTCCTTATTTATAGCTGTGTTTGGATTAAATTACTTAAATAACTACTATTTATTTAAATATTTTATATCTATGTTAATTTCAAGGGGTCGTTTACTTGGCCCATACTGTTCTTTATTTTTTAATGGCACTTAAACTGCAATAGCATGAGCAAAGGAGCCTCAGGCTTGCATTTTCTTATCTCTAATTTACATACTAACCAACTAGTTGGTTGTAACCTTAGAATAAGAATAAAAAGTTGTAACAACTACTAGGAATATTATTCATACAATCTATACCAACTCCTAATACTGTAGCTATTTTCTTGTACTTTCAACTTTAACTTTTTATAGCTATTTTAGATTAAATATAATTTTTGATTAAAAATAACTTAACTTTAAAACTGAAATTGTCATTTAGATTAATAGCAGTACAATTTATTTTTAAGTACGAGTCAATTAGTACGATTTTTGGGAAGTCTACTAATAATAGGCCACCATTACGTAGTTGAAAATTTGGGCATTCGGATATTAAAAAAATTCCCGAAAGTCACTTTTAAAATATAAGAAAAACATTTTACTTACGGAATACCTTCTATATGTATATATTTTTTTTATTTTTACAGGCTTTTACAGAACACCAGATTGTACCCGACGTCATTGACCAGCCACCAACGCAAACAGCTACTGTAACCTATCCCAAAGCCAAAGTCAACCTAGGCAATGAAATCGGACCAGTAAACGTGCGCCAACAACCACAAGTTACATATCCAGCTGAAAAAAATGCATACTACACGTTAATAATGACCGATCCCGATGCGCCCAGTAGAACCAGCCCAGACAGAAAGGAAGCTCGTCATTGGTTGGTGGGAAACATCCCCGGATCAGATGTATCCAAAGGCCAGGTGATTTCTGCTTATATCGGATCTGGCCCTCCACAAGGTTCGGGTCTCCACAGATACATTTTCTTGATCTACCAGCAACCAGGAAAGATAACCTTCGATGAGAAGCATGAGAGCGAAACTGAAATGGGTGAAAGGATGTCGTTTGTTGTTAGGAAGTTCACTGAGAAATATAAATTGGTTTTAAAGGCTGGTAACTTCTATCAAGCTCAGTACGATGACTCGGTGCCAGAGCTTCATAAACAGCTAGGATTTACAGCACCAGCAGCTGATGTTTAAAATTACACATGTTTTAAACATGTATTGTTTATTTTGGTGTTAAGCTTGCTGATGGTAGTACGAAGAAGAATCATTTAAAAAAAGGGATATAAGAAAATATGAATTATTTGTGTATTTATTAACAAGATACCTAAATATCAAACATTATATTTTTCTGTATCTGAATAAAAAAAGGTATTAAAGAAGAGACGATCTATTTATTTGAATTAGTCTATCTAGTAATTAATATAATGTAAAAAAATTGAAACCATATTTCAAGCACTTCTGACAAACGGTCTTAGTAAAACATCTGATTTTTTAAAATATTTATACCAATGTTTGCATGAAAAAAAATTTCTTTCATGTGAAAATATAACTCTTAATATTTATGAAATATACAGTTTTCAAAAACTGTATCGTTTAGTTGGCCTATTCTTTATTTCTTAATGGCGCCTACTGCCGACTGGCTTTAAGAAAGTTGTAATTTATTTTTAAATTAAGTAAAAATGACTTTTAAATGGTTTAGTTTAAAATTCGAGAAAAAATATTTTTTTACAAATGGATTTGTGTGTCTGGAAACGTTCTATCCTTTTTTAATCTTTCTATAATTATTGTTAGGTTGGCTTGCTGGGGTTTGGGATCATGTTTGATCCCTTACTCGGAGGCCTTGGGCCCATTGCGATACTCCTGTATTGTTATACCAAACCTTCCTCTCATTCTTCCTTTGCGTTAAAGCACTTCCAGTTCCCGATGTCGCTGATGTTGGCTTCTGCTGTCTCCTCTAGTGCCT